ACATAATGCAGGACAACCTGTGTCATCCCTATAATTATACTAAGTAGCTACTACCGTACTTAGTGATATACCTGTTTCGGCAATAGGAGGGAAATTGAAGGAGGGATATAGGGATGCCCAAAAGGAAGAAAGTGGGTGACGGAATGAATTGATTTCCTGATTGTGTTCACTAGGACTTTTTATGCCATTTTACCATCAACAAAGCCAGTTACATGCCATGCTGCTATAGCTAAACCATGTTAGACAGAGTGTGGTAACTATGGTAAAGAGGCCTATGCAATTACACCAAGTGAAAGGTGCCTACAAATGCATACTTTTTACGGACCTGGTGTGGTGAGTTCATAGACAACATTGACCCAAGGAGTGGTAGGCTCATTCAGACACGCAACAGACCGGGCAGAGCCCCTCAATGAGGCAGGATGATTAGCAAACAGACCATCTCCACTGGAGAATCCAATTGTAGCTCCATTAGAATACTCAAGGTCTCCACAATAGTACGTAAAAACAGCAAAGGAAGTGAAAGTATTGGTAATCAAAATTCCCTGGAATGTGTTGTTCTGCAAGAAAATAGTCATGTATTAAATGAAGCTATTAAAGGTACAAATCTGAGGTTCTCACAATAGTATAATCACCATATGGTGGAACTCGATCCCATGTAGCGACCAACATCCATTTTCCTTTGAAATCAGTCTGTGAGTGCTCATTGATGACTGAATTGACTTGAGATAGAATAGACCCAGAAATTGCTTCTGTGTGGACTTCATAGTTGATTTGACCGATGCCGGAAGAAATGTCTGTATCAGTGAAGAATGGAGCCACCAGTGGAAGGCTATTCTCATAGAACAGAAATGGTGCATATCCACTGTATCCAGTGAAAGTAAAGTATCCATTAGTTCCTACCTATTTTAGCATAAACGTAATTATAATTTCAGTATAAGTTTAAAACAAACGTACGTAAATGGTTGATTGAAGCTGTGACCCGAGGGGAAAGGAAACATAAATTGGGGAGGAAGTTCCATCATCAGATTCAGGAACTGTGTGTGTGGCAACCCCTTCCGTGACTCCAAGTTGAATGTAGGGAATAACAGTACCCACCAACGTGTCTGGAGATGAAACTATTTCAAAATAGTGTTGTTTGTAAAACGTACTGTAGCTCACTATTCCTCTCAGCACATCCAGTAATGCTGATGTCATCGCAACAGTCACCATACTTGAAACACATGACATCACAGAAGCAGGAAAGTGAAAAATGAAAAACCTCGCAATTGTCACCTTCGCAGCATCCACTAAATCCAGCATCGACACAGGAACCTGAATCATTAAATGCCATGTTACTTTAATGCTCTTAGCACAGCAAGCTACATGCCCCACTGTGGTTAAAAAATCTTGTTTAGTTTGCAAGACTCACCAACTTCCTTGAATTTTAGTGGAGAGTAGCACTCTTCCAATGGCAAAGTTGCATTATAGCAATATCCGTTTCGTTCAGTGAACGCTGCTGGACATGTACCAATACACTTCAGTGTGTATGCGTTACGTAGATTGGTACAGGAGTCACAGGTATCAGGGCCATCTCCGGCACAGCCTCTACTGCAGTTAGGATGACATGTACCCGGAATATTAGCCACAGACTGTGGTGTGCTGGACACTCCGAAGACTTTTAATACAATCCCCGTGATAATAGCACTGGTATAACTGCTGCGTGTTGTTACGGTGAGGTTCCATTCTCCTGAGGGGTTCTCCCCCCAGAACATAACGGACATAAATGGCCAATTGATAAAACTACTGCTACTGTAATCATTATCACGATGACCCAAGAGGGTTGATATTGTGCCAGACGGCGATGTAAGTTCTATCATTATATCTCCACGATTTCCTGATAAAGTGTCTACAGTCATTGTAATTACAACATGTTCCAAGTATTGAATAGATCCTTCGTATTGAACTGTAGTATAGAATGGTGACTCAAATGTAGCATTTCTGTAAAAGTAAAGAGCCAGTTAGATAGTAGAGAGCTGGTAAACCTGGTGTGTGAGGGAGTGTAAGGCAATTACACACATGCACACGAGTATTGTGCTCACTATCTTCTTTGGCAAAACCCTCTGACAAACACAGTCATTACTAAAACTCCAGGGGGTATGTTCGTAATGAAGGTAGCTAAAACCTCACCCTGAATCTGTAAAAGGAAAGAGCTGTTGCATCTCCTGAGGAGGTACATTGATCCAGTGTCTAGCTCTGGTGACCATGGCCTCAGCATCCATCACTCCAAACCCATACTGATGACTCACTGCCAGACCAGCTCCATTAGTAATGGAATCAGTGTCATTGGTCAATTGAGTATTAGACGTGTACACAATCAGATACTGCACATCTCTCCATGTTAGATCAGGGCTACAATTGAGCATAATAATAATAGATAAACTATGTGAATATCATCAGCTAATGTCGTTCGTGGTTAATGTTGAATCTGTATGATTATCAGTAAATCACTCGTGCAGTAGGAGAATTTAATCATACTCACCCACTTCAGAACTCTGTTATACAACAGATAAGAAAATTAACTCAGGAGCTATATATGTGTGTATGTTTTTAAGACCACAACACATACCTATTCACTGAACATTTAAGCAAAGAAGGCCTGAAATGTTACTCACATAATTATACTCTAAAAACAGTGACCAATGCATGGAAGCTGCATATTGCAATTGTGCACGACAAAAATGCTCAGGTCAAGATCACAAGAGATTTATGGATACTTAGCTTCCAGGGTTAAAGCAATTATTGCAGAGACCATAGGTGTTGCTGCACTTGTTCCACCAAACGACAGGGTACATCCTCCACCCAATTCCGTAGTTGTCTAGGGGGAGATACAATAGCAGTGAGTAAGAAAAGGTCATCCAGTATTTAATAGATATCACAGATCATTACCAAAAGTGATGATCGTAAAAACACACTCAAAGTACAGTAGAGGCATAGCATGCGAAAAGCTGATTTTTTGCCATGATTACAGATGTGAGCTGAGCATGTGAGTGAGTTGCTATTTATTTATACCACAGAAGAGCTTCCATAGTAGTTGGTGACATATGCAGTGGACATCTTTGCAGAGCATTCCTCATCAAAAGGACTAGGAAAACCATCAACTCCCAGAGCACCGACGGATATGGTGTATGGACTAATGGCATAGCCATCTGCAGCACAATCGTCATTAGGTCCTCCATTGCCATTGGCCCATACATATATGGATCCTTTTCCTCCACGTCCCTATGTGAGAGTAGAAGTAAATTAATTTTGTACAATCACACAGAGTTGAAAGTTGTATCTGATTGACTCCATTCTCCAAAGCGATAGTTGTTAGCACTCCGGGACCATCTACAGTATATCCATCATCGTACGGCCCCCAACTGTTGCTGTAGATATCGACAATGTCATTCTCGAAAGTCAGACTAACAGCTTCGTTCATATCAGTTCCTGCACCCAGTAAGGCAATACCTGTATTATACAGTAGATACAACTATGCTTATTCAAAAGTGTCTTAAAGAAAATCTTACCACCCAAGTTGACATCATAAGCAATTCCCACGCCACAAACATCATTATCCTTTACAGATCCAATGATGCCACCAATACTAGTGCCATGATATGCATAAATGTTGGATGGGTCCACATCACCTTCAACAAAATCAAAAGCCACTTGAGGAACCTGGAGGTAAAATTATAGCAGAATGATTACACTCTGTTGCGTCGGAACAAATAACTTACAAAGTTATCCCACAAGTCATTATGATAAATATCGAGTCCTGTGATTGGGTTTATAAAAGTGTGTAAGTAATGAACAAGTAATAATGTTAGGAAATAATTCACCATCATCCACAACAGCCACAGTGACATTGCATCCACTGTATCCCTGCAACCAGGCTGGCTCCACATTTAAATCATTTCCACTAAACTGTTCACCAAACTGCCCAGAGTTTAGCTAATGCATGGCACAATAACACTTGAACAAGCCTTTATGTGAATCAAAACCTCATTTGCACCTACCACATTCCACTGGGTACTAAAAAGAGGATCAGTTGGAACTGAATACTTTGAAACTCGAGGTCTGATTATTTTGTTGTTCAACAAGTCCAATCTAGTATCAAAGCATGTTATGCAACTGTGCCAGTGTGTACAAACTCATAACTGTTATGTTCTTACATTTGCCTCTAGAAAGAGATGTTCATTTTTTTCGGTGAAGGGTGAATCCGTTCTCATGGACGATTTTTCATTTTCACATAGCTCATAATGGAAAAACTTTCTGTCACTGCTAATCTGAAAATACAATCAGCTCAGGGATCTTCCAAAAGACGCGCCGAGTTGAATCGCGATAAAAGGGAGGGCAAGCAAAAATATCTTCCCTCCAATCTTCTCCATTATGGAAACCTCTTTCCGATCAACAAACGCTCCTGAACTCGTCTAGCTAGAGTAAGTCCACCCCCTTGCAGAACAGTGGGCGAGCCGCCAATTTTCCCGCACTTCTAACTCGCACGCATGACCGCATGCGTGACATTCGTCGCAGCGGTATTGAGTGGGAGGGTGTGAGAAAAATCATAGATTGGCCAGAACCACAAATGATTAGTGTAGGCGTTGGGAGGGGGTGGGGCTCACCATTGGAAGTCATGGTGACCATGAAGCCTGCGCAGCGAGGGTTACTGTAATCGTCTGTGTGTGTGTCGACGCTTATTCTTGCACTGCAGGCTACGAGGCGGCCCATTAACGATACCGACGGCTTCAGAACTACTCGAGCCTGAAAACTAAAAGGGCGATTTTCCTGAAACGACTGCGTTTGAGAGCGACAAACAGGCACGGTCGCGGACCGCGTTGCGTGGCCCAACCCATCAATAAGCGGTGCGCATGCGCCGCGATCAACGAGGTTTGCTGGCTAACGGCGACCCTGATCCGCTGGTTCTGTGTACCTTGGGGGATCATAAGTCACAACGAATGCCATGTATCGGCTCCCGCCTACTGTAGCTAGTCCGTGTCAGATACTCCGCGAGCTACTCAGTAGCGGGAGACCACGAGTAAACGCATACAAGGGCTAGGGCTAGGGCTAGGGCTAGGGCTAGGACTAGGGCTAGACAACGAATAGCCCAGCCCATCAATTAGCAGTATCGCGCATGCGCAGTTCGCCGAGGGTTTGCACTGTAGTGCTTTTCTTATGACGAAACCCACCCCAAAACAGGCCGAAACACAACATCAGCTGGGTAGAATAAAGAATAATTGCCGCAAGTTGTGTCTACATACGAAAATAGCTATACACACACTCTAGTTTAGACACACAAGAACAGTCTAGGTGAGTACTGCTCTCATCATTCTCCTATGCTATGTAGTCCGAGCCCTTCTCGTCAGTAGTCATAACTTCATCATTGGCTACTGATTCACTTGCCACAGATGTAAATAGAGCACTGCTTGTTACAACAGATATGTCTGTATGAGAGAGAGGTGAACAGTTGAATGACTTTTCTGGCAAAAAAATGCTATATTATTATTGCATTAGATGTGTTTGTATTTACTTGTTTACTTTCATTGGTGTCTAGCGGTTTTTTGTGCAGAAGTTCCTTAAGTCGATTCGTTGAATGCTGGCCATCTGAGGAACTTGACTGTGCATTGTAAAACAAATTGACTTGGTTATAACATGAAAAGATTGACTTACAGCTTTCTCCTTAGACAAAGGCTTTGGTTTCTTCTTGAACATAGAGGTTAATGTGTTCCAAACCTGGACATGAGAATAACATACCATGTCAGAAAGAAATTGCATGGTTGATTTGAATAATTTCTATGAGACTTACCAGTGTGCTTCTGATGACATGGAAAGCAAATATCGCAAGTCCCTGTAATATGTGACACACAATAATAGGTTAAAAGGTCACTCATTATGAAGTATATAGTGCATGGAAGAGTGGCAGGTTCTGATGTGCATATCCTTCCATATTATCTCCTATGAGGTCAGTGTTCGCCAACTTCTTCAGCAGGGATGAAGCGTGAACCTTTACACAAACCTCACTAGTGAGCAACATGGAATCCACTGCACGTAAATAGCAACATCGAGTCGGTGCACTATACACATGTGTGTTACACCACTCCTTTTGGACAGCTTGGGGCACTGTCATAAATCGTCATTATTAGGCTGGGTATTTTCCTGAAATCCAATGCCAAACGAGATTCGTTGCCTTGAGTATCTGCCGCTCACACCACAGACAATGTCATACAGATAGGTGTTGCGGGAAGGGGGAAACATAACGAACCTGGAGGGAGTTGAAGATAGTGAAGAGCCAAGCAAACACTGTTGTGTTGCTATTGAGTGTGAGAAGACCAAACAACCAGGTCACTCCCAGTAGAGGTAGAAGAATGACTGTTGCTTTCAATATATTCCTGCAGGGAGCATACATAGTGGCTCTCCAGAAATGTCTATATACATGTAACTCACGCTGCTTTGTTGATGGATTTTTCTTTGTTAATTAGTGCCCTTGCCTGGCTCTTACTGCGGATCAATACTTTAACAGCCAGCACTAGAAACACTGTGTTGATCTGTACGATGGCAGTGTTTCATTTGTCACCATACATTTCCACTTTTGACGTACCATTATGATGATAACCATTGGTGCCACAAATGCAAAGATACTCCCTTGCTTTATAGACAGCCAGCAGCTAAGGCAGGGTTAGAGACACAATAAGTAAAGATAAGACCTGTCACCTCTAACTCACAAGGCAAGCTCTCCATCATCTCCATATACTCCATAGTGCTCAACACGTGCTGCCAGTCCACTAGCCACAAACAGTAGAGGAGGGCCTGTTTTTGTGTGTATTTAAATACAACACTAGTATTTAAATATAGCTACAACACAGATGCCTTTTTTTCAAAACGAGGTGCCAAGTGGCAACACCCATGCATAAAGTGCATCACAATCACCCAACTATTTATTTTCTGTGAAATAATATAGCAGGAGTCAGAGCCACAAGCTTCATGTTTCTATAGCAGTGGAACTGGAGCTATAGATATTGACTCTTTTTATGACATAGCTATAGCTAGTGAAATGAGGGTCGTCCATATTGCTATCATTAAGACAACTCACAGTATCCAACAATCATAAAGAACCACCACTTCTTTGAGAGTCGACTGAAGACCACAATCAACATGAGGTAGAGCATGATCCCCTCACACATCATCCAGCAGAAGGCAGAGAGGAACAGATACTGCAGCAGTGCTGCCACAAACCCACAGGCAACCTGGATGTCACATTGACAGCCTTATTACTTTCAACACTGCTTGCAATACCTTGTTGCTGTTTCCTAGTTCAATACCTAGTACAAACACCAGGTATCCCACCAGTAGTGTTAATGCCAGGTTGAGGTGGACAAAGTAGTGAATAGCAGAGAACAGCTTTTTCCTGAGTGTGAAGAACAAGCAACTCAACATTGCAATCTTTTCCTCCGATCACTCACCCCATGGCCAGATAAAAGATCACAGTGATGGAGAGACAGACCATAGATATTATGCACCCTATGTAGGAGACAATCTTCAGAGCTAGTTTCTCCTCCTTTGGTGCTTCCTACGCAAAAAGTACTTCTCATGATGGCATCATAGCTTAAGTACAATACCACCTTAATATCTCAGGAAAATAGCAACATGATGTAGAACTGTATACCTCTAATCCACCAGCTACATCCACCAGAACTGCAAAGCTGGTGAGGTGGGTGGAGTTAAACACAACTGTGGTCACATTGTCTCCGGTTACACTGCTGATGACCTGGATACCCTCTGAGCTCCACCCTCCACTGCCCACCCTGTGGTGGTGGTATATAATGATCACTACCGGTGAGTTTTGACCCACATACAGTCACTCACGGGTCAGAGAAGTTCCAGAAAACTCCGAGATACTGGGATATGAATTGTGCACTCTGAAACAGAAAACAGAATTTTTTTATAGCTGTTATTCTCTCCTGAAGTACTGCAGCCCAAACATCAAAGTAGTATCTTACGGTTGGAATCATTAATGGCGACTAGCTATCCAAGAATATCTCTTCGGAACATGTGTTAAGTTATTAAAATCGTTGTAATTGTGATTTTATCAGCACACGGCAGCAGATCACGAAAGATATGAACCGCAGTATAATGGACTCACAGCAGTAAAGCTGAAGCTGAGAGTAATGGGGTTGTCATTTACAATGTCAGCTGGTATATCTGCCCCATCCATTCTGCCCAGTTGAGTTGATAGCACAAGAGATTCCGCTCGAGCATTGCTGCAGGTGAGAGCATATATAGTACAAGTGTGTGATCTGTAAGTATGCAAATATTACTTGAGGATGGTGGTGTTCGTAGGTAAGAAGTCCCCAATATTTCTGAAGATAATGTTAACAAAGTACAGCTCTGTAGAGATGATAACAAATGAAATCTAGCACAGTTGGCTCCATTAAACTGGACATTACCTGCCCCATTGCTAGAGTTTTCAGTGGTCAGCTGTAGAAGGGACTCGGCTGGGATTGAGATCTGGACTGTCTCGTTCATGTCACCTGAGAAGTTTCCCAGTTGATCAGATCTGGCAGGAAACACTATCTCCATTCCACTGTTCACTCTTTCTGCTGCTACAACTGAAATTGACATAAAATCTCTCGGTGTGATATCTCCAATGCTTAATAGGAATACTCTAAGTTAAAGGTGCATATGAATGGTTTAGTTATAGCTCTTTTACACCAAGCAACACTAAAGACAAAATTTTAACTTACAAATGTTTTCCCTAGTAAACATCAGAGTAGTGTTGCCACTAGTGCCATTGACTATACTGGCAAGGATTCTCCCAAATCTCTCTGCATTCTCTAGCAGAGTCTGACTCCCAGAGCCAGCAGTCTGTAGCTGTGTCCAGCCCGCCTGGTTTGCCTCACTCAGTACATTGTTAAATACATCCACCAGTGCCTGGGAGAGAGATAACCTTTACTGCTGTTTCAATATACTTCACTAGACTATTTTTCTTTATTGCCCACATTACCCTTTTATCTTACCCCACTAAAAATTACTAATTGCCACATTACTATTTCAACTTACTTCACTACTATTTGCTGCATTATCCACATTTCTTTCAAGTACAACCAACACCTGCAGAAAGGTTCATGAACTATACATGATGCACACACTCTGTTTCTGAACTCACTCTTTCGACAATGTTGTTGGTGGACTTAAGGTCACTGGGGAGGAGTGAAATCTCTGGTCCCCTTTGTGTGGCCGTAGATAGCTCCCCAGATATCCTTGTGGCACTCTCTATTGTAGCATTCGTACCTGACAAGCTTGAAAGAGCCTACAGTGAGGAAAAGAATTGAGAGCAACAAGCTCAGTGCCATAACTGGCAATACCCATTTGTTTTAGCAACAAATTAATATGTACTATACATATATTATATATATAATATATACCTCATCCAAGACTCTGTCAATGCTCTCTGATCTGCATGAGGAAGCATTAGCGACTGCCCAGGTCATATTCAAATGGCACACTCTAGTTGCCATCCCTGCATTTGGCGTTTTATAGATTATGTAAATGCAGGTGCACGAAGGTCAACAAAGGGATTTAATTACCTCCTCGGCACTGACTGGTAGCCTGGGATCTGCTTTTGTATTAAGCCATGCGATACTCCACTCATCATCTTCACCTTTGCATCCTAGAAAATCTGCAGAGACAGTATTATTTATTTCTGTCACTTTAATCTTATGGTGGTTAGTTGCACCTAGCTACAATGATTGAACTTCCTCAAGGAATGAGATTGCTAAGTAACAAACTAATATTCTTGGTTTTCATGGCTAAGTATAAATAATACAGGTCAGTTAACAAATACATTATATTACCTTGCTCATCCAGGAATGTAATGTTTGTTACATCACCATTGACTAAAAACTGAGAGTCCTGAGACTTGACTCCGAGACTGACAGAGCGATTTCCTTGAGCCGTGGTGTCATTAATGACACGGATATCAAGGCACGCTTCAGAATTATTTGAAAGAAAGGTGAATGGGGTTATAGGCAAATCAAAAGCACTTCCATCTGCAGAAAGTAGGTGGTATAAGGTCAAAATTGGTATATATAGCTTTGTTTACCAAATTTATTATCTGAAAACTCCACTAACGTGACGTTTAAGGTTACGTCAGGGGCTACTTCAGTACCAGGGACCTTCCTCAAACAGAGTTTCATATTTCCTATCCTCTCACTCACTGCATGCGGATGCTCCAAAAACCTCAGCTCCAACACTGCACCAGAAATGTTGGATAAGTAATTCCATATTATTAAAGACATTAATACATTTACCTGTGCTGTCTTCGATAACTATCTGTGTCTGAACAGATACATCACCATTAATAATTACGTCAGGATCATTGCTGGTAAGGTTTAGGTGATACATCTCATTTCCTTCAACAATAGAATCCGGATGTATAGTTAAATTTGTGCAAGTAGCTGTTGTGTTCTTTTCCAATGTTATGTTCATCAGAGAGGAAGTAAAATCTTCCCCGGCAAAAATATAAGATGAAAGGAATAGTCAATCAGACCCAAAGATGAAACAAGAAAGTCATACCATTTGAAGTAGGTGTGAGCCTGGCTTCAAAAGTGACGATGAAATCGTACCGGACATCATTCAAAGTCATTAGACACACTTCGTCCTGCTGGAATTCTCACTGAATGTGTAAGTAGCTGCCTCAAATTGAATCTCAACTCCTTTAGGAAGAGTATTAAATTAAACAAAAGTAATAACAGTAATACTGGTAATGACGGGAGTATATTAAGTGATACTATCTCTTAGTGGCATATTATTCTTTCCTGTTCCAGGAGTTACCCATAACTGGCTGTACATAGCAACTGTGGCTCATGAAAGGATAATTATTATGAGTTAAAGAAGTGGTGTCCACTTCCCCTCCCTCCATAGTTTTTATCATAGCGCGCTCGGTTGTCGGTGTTTCCAGCTTGTGATCACTGGCGGTGCATACTAACAGAAGTAGAACTACTAGCAGTAGGTGTTAAAGTAGGAAAAGGTATCTGTTATGTAGGAAATCCAGACAGGGAAAAGAATTTGCTGTCCTCCCAACATATTAAGTACCTCGAAAAGCATCCGCACAAGTTTGTTGTGGTTGAGAGACTACTCTGTCAACTTGAAAGACACACATTCCAGGTCTTCTAACATTAGTTCTGAGGGTGATGTTGACTATGCCTTCTTCCATTGACGTAGGAACTGTGTATGAGATATTCCATGCCCAGCATTGTAGCCAACCAATGCATGGCCACCACGCAAAGAAGTCCAATTGGTCCATTGAATGAGGTTATCAGCATAGATATAAATGACAAATGTCTCATTTCCAGACACAGCTAGCACACTCTGAAATGTGTTTGTCTAAGGAAATAAAAAGTGATTAAAATAATCATATTATCATCATAATTCTACAACTAACAGCTAGAAATTGTAATTTTAATATATACCTTATCCGTTCCATTGTCATAATAACCAACATGGTCCCATGTAGATATGAAGAGGTAATCAATACTGGACAGAGTTGGGTGTGCCCTTTGAATGTCAGCCAGTGCTTTTTGTACTAAGTCTGAATCATTTGTCCTCTGGAAACAGACACTTCCCCTTGGTCCAGGCACTTGAGTGTCAACATCACCCCAGAAGACAGCCATCAGTGGGAAACCATTTGTAGGCAGCATTTGAGGAGAAGCTTCAACGAAAGATGCATTTGGAGAAAGATTGCCATTCTCACTGACCTACAGAGTATAATATATGAGAACATTAGCCGCCAGTTTTAGAAACAGCTGGATTTTGTTACGTTAATTGAATCAAAAGATTCTCCGAAGAATGTGTAGCTGGGGTTAAGTTGTATTGTTTGGGACAAGTCGTCAATGGGAGGAAGACAGGTGACATTTCCACTGAAATTGTAAAAGTCCCTCAGTGGAACAGCTCTCACCACACCAATTGAAATGAATATGAGAAAGAGCAATGGTCCTCCGCTGAACATTGCACAAGAACTGTTTTCTATCACAATCTGAATGTCATATCAAAATAATAGAGTGAAATGTATAATACTTAATAGGCAGTTGGGTACTTAAAACCTACTATTGCGAGCCCGTTTTTAACACATTGCTATAGCTGAATCCTTACCTCTGACAATACAATAGGTAGATCTAACTCTGAGACAGACTGCAGTGATGCGAGTCTTTGTGCACATTTTATTTGCGAGCATCCAACGTTATTTCAAGCCTTTGAGTTGCTGGTGTCATGATGTTAGACATAACGCGGAACGCGCATGTCAACACTTTCAATGCGGAACCGAGGTCATCGGACACGCATGATGTAGCGCTGTCACTGAAATGTTATGCACACTTGTATAATATAACCATAACTCTGCTCTTCTTCTGTTTGCCATCACTCGCTATCTACATTGACACAAAAACTTGTGATAAAAGCGCTTCCCTCGTATTCATAATGACCCCGTGGAGTTCTCGCGTAATTTCTTACGCATCCCACTGCAGGAAAAGTTGTTTACCAGGACATGATTAACTAGGCCAGGGATGCATCTTAGCTACCACATAAAGAAGTATTGGCAGGGAGGACTAAAGGAAGTCTTACCATGATATTTTAACTACATCCGGCTAGTGAAGGTGTTATACTAACAGGATCGTGGAAGGACATGTATACAAGGCTACTAGCTAAGCTATAGCTACCAAGGGAAGATACACTCAGGAAGGTAACGTGACAGCTAGAGGCAGGCTTTGAAGTGGGGTTGTTATGGTGTGCGTGTTTTATGTGACCAGTATGTCAGTAGGATAGGTGAATGTGTAATTATACCTTACCAGAATTGTATCACCTGAGAAAAGGATATTGTGCTTACATGGAGTGGGGAACTATGATGTGGGAAGGCAAGGAAATCATGGAGGACTATGGCAACAATACTTCCTTCTTCCTGAAGACTCCGATTATATTAGTGTTCTATTTGATGGTTCTCACATTGCTTTATATAATTATAGGATCATGCCTTTTATTCATGAAGCCATGTCGTTGTATTTTGGTTATAACCCAGGCCGATATCTATTCGCCATCATTTTCTGGGGTGCCTGAGAACATTGAGAAACCGCAACGGACTGTTTCAAAATTCACTGCATGGGGAGCTGTTCTCCGGAACAAACTTTACGATGCTTTGAAAACAAACTCATTGAATCTCACCGGATAACAGTCTCTAGCAACTACCCTGGATGGTTCCTTGTTCTTTGAGATGTTGACAAAGCTAGGCTAGAACTATTTCATTTTGTCTTTGTGTTAATCTCAATCAATCAAAAATTAAAAGGGTGAACTTCACCCATCAAAGTTTACAGGGTAAACTTCACCCTTCAAAAATTTAAATGGTAAACTTCACCCTTCAAAAGAAGTAAAAGGCTGCACTTCACCCTTCAATATTGCAAGGGTGAACTTCACCCATCAAAGTTTACAAGGAACTTCACCCTTCAAAAAGTAAAACGCTAAACCTCACCCTTCAAATGGTAATTTCAAGGGTGAGCGAAGCGCGCGGTCATGGCGACTGCGGTCCGCGCGCACACGCACATGCACGCGCATGGACTAACCGGGAGAACGTGGATCCAGGCTTTAGTAAAAAGGGCACATCGCCTCGTACGCGTGGCTCTTGGCCTTGCATGCAGCCATGTCCGGAGCGAAGACGGAGACTGAGCGGGTTAGGACTGCATGATCGTTGTTACTTCAGGCGGTGGAGAGCTTGTCAAGTCGAGAATGAAGGCCGCAGGTTTCGAGAATCGTCTAGTGCTGTCGGACCTCCGCCCCAGAAGCCCCCAACCACGGTTGACCAGCAAGGGCCTTCTACCATTCTCACAGAGCGAAACCGCCGGACATGGCTGCATGCAAGGCCAAGAGCCACACGCGCACGAGGCGATTGCATGCGCCTTTTTTCTCCTGGATCCACGTTCCAAGGAGGTTTGCAACCCCCAGTTTCGTGCAGCAAGGACGCGAAGAAGCGGACCACTGACACTGACCTCAAAATCACGTTGTCACCCCAGATGATTACGTAGGTTTAGCGCACAGGGCAAGTAGCGCCCCAAAAGTTCACGCGTGTAACATCCGAAACACGAAAATGTGTACACTAACCGCGCCCCCTCTCTGAGTCTGGCCATACCTGCGTATGCGCAAGTATATACAACGACATGCCCCAGAATGTTGAGATATCTACAGACTATATGTGCCACCTGTTCTGCCAAGCTCATCCAAGGAGACTCTTCCACAATTCATTCATTGTTTGCAGATGTTTGTAATTGTGCATCATCGAAATTTTTATGTACAACCCCCAGTTATCATAATAATTATTTGCCTCTGGTAGCAGCATTACTCAGGTGCATTGTAGGTTTCCTCTGTGTTGTATATTTATAGCCTTCCTGCAGCTGCTTCAGTTGGGTGGGACACAAGGGGGAATACACTAACATTGTCAGCAGGTGGATTAGTGAATGGCGTGCAACTAGCTGGAGAGACACATTTGACTCCAGTACACTCGATCTTTGATCAAGTGATTGATGTCAGGACATCAGGAGTAGACAACTTCGACACAATTGCAACAATACTCCAAAGAGCTTCAGAGGGAAAGAACTTCAGGGAGTTCATCACTGAGCCGGCACAGCAGGAACGATCGGACTCCGACCCTGAGCAAGATGAGGAAGACGTATGTTTATCCACTATACTAGATCATTCCTTACCTGTGTGTATGTATACTATAGTTCGACCATGAAATTGTACCTCCACTCTGGAAGGAGGTGGTGAGTGTGAACTGCTTTGTCCTGTGCTCTCCTGCACACACTCAAATGCTTCTTAGAGGAGGGCTGTATACCAAAGTAACACTCTTCACAATACTATCCGCCATACCAATAGGAAACTAAAATCATTCACCTGAGCCCCGAAAATTCGTAGCTGCAGTTCATTTGCCGACAGAAGTGTACACCTTTGTTACAACACCTTACATACTGGCAAAGCATAAGCCTTCCACAAGCTTTTTTTGTCCAAGACTGGGACTAGAGGTAGCTAGAAAAACAGCTGGAAAGCATAGGCTACAAGTACACAGTAGTCTCGTGCTCAGACCACTTTTCATGGGGGAGGGAAAAACGTGGTAAAAAAGGTGGGATGCATGTGGATCTGGCAGAAAGAATGCAGGCACAGCAAAATAGCCATTGCTTCAGAGCAGAAGACAGACCCGAGGGACTGAGCATTGCTTGGTTTTGCTTGGGCTTACCTGTGAACTTGGTAAGCCCACACGAGAACAGCAGGAAAGGTCGCAATCTGAGAGGAGGTGGTCTACAAACATAATTATGCTTAGCTACAATCCGCTGACTGAACCGACAACACAACCAGCCACAACTCTGGCAGGCAGCTATTCTATGTAGCTATGTGCCAGGACAGTGTGAAAACTTGGCAATTCCGTGGTGTATGTAACGTTTACCTCTCTTTCTGTACAATTGTGATGGGCCAAAAATCGGCAAAAAATCTCCCTCAAGAGTCGACCTTTTAACCTAGTGCACAACTGAATGCGCTTGTCACATGGCCATAATCAACATTCTACTGGTCCGCACGCACCCCACTTGAACTACCAGACCACCTTTTTTTCCCCTGGGTACAAGACTAGGTGAATAGCAGGTTCAGTGTCTGAGACTGTTTGGACAGCTACTCTACCTGTTGCTCCCTATGGAGTGAAACCTAGAACGGTAGCTAGGCTTAGCAACCAAAATAACTGTCTTCATCGACATGAGTTCTTGCTCACATAAGACCTGGCCTTTAGTGAAGCCTGAAACTTGCATGCATAAGAGGGTGCATATATTCTTGGTTGTCTATGGCAACACCATACTTTCTTATGGGACGTACAGCTAATGCATGCATGGTAGTGTATCACCAGGGTGGAAAGTTGCAATGGTGTTAGTGTTTTATAGCAAGCTATGACAACCTTTTAGGGGCTCAGGTGAAGTTCGTGTTGCTGATTCCTTTTTGTGCATGCTTTTTTCTGTTGCCTTGCTTTCGGCAGGTGGAGACCCTGAAACACTATTGTGAATAGCTAGCAGCACAATAGGTTAATGTTTTTGCTTACTTCCTTTGCAGTGAATGGAGTACTGGCATGGGAATTTCCCAACCTGGGCACTCCGAGTATTGGCCGCAGGAGAAGAAACTGAATCAACGAGTGATGTTGTCCTCCTCCAACAGAAGTTGAAGCAAATTGTGCTGGTGTGCGAGGTACATATATGCACTGGTGAGGGGATC